CCTCGCCCACGGGGGGGGGGGGGGGGACGGGCAGGGGGGGGAGGGGGGCTGGGCCACAGTGAAGGGGGTATGAATTATGAAGTTATGGATGGAGACAGACAGATAGATAGATAGATAGATAGATAGATAGATAGATAGATAGATAGATAGATAGATAGATAGATAGATAGATAGATAGATGCCAATGAGAGAAATGCAGAATAGGAAGAACATGAAGATGGACAAGAATTTTTGAACAAGAAATTAGTGTTTTATGACAGAAGATGAAGGAACATGGAAGAACAGGAGGAAGAGAAGGAGGTCGGAAAAAGAGAAAGATCAACAGACAGAATAGAAAGAGTTGGCGAGACGGTAAAAAACAAAACAGAAACACACATGGTTAATCGAACCACATTAACACTAAAGCATGAGTCTGTCAACCGAGAATAAGCAACAAGACTTTGAGCCAGAGCTGGAACCTATGAGGTACTGAACTTACTATCCAATGCTCAAAACTATTATAAGGGCTGTTCACACTGACAGCAATTACTGCTGAATGGGAACAAAAAGTGTGTATATAAACTGCAAACTGCAGCATTTTATATTACATCATAGGCCCTGTTTACACTTGGTATTAAGATGCGTTTTGGTCGATCGTATCACAAGTGGACAACGCTAAATACAGGTGTAAACGGGGTGTGAAACGTTTTGAGCTTGTCCACTTTCGACCACTTCCAGAGGTAGTCGAAAACGCATTCGACTGGATTGCTTTCGTGGTGTAGACGCTGATGTGGTCGAACGCGTTCGAACAGCCTACTCAGAAGTATTATTCTGATAACACGAAAAAGAAACAACAGCAGTAAGTACAAGCAGACGTAATATTAGTGCACGATAACTTTAGCCCTCCCGCTCATGTTTTGACGCCGACAGAGGGATCCGCCCATTTACCCTCCTCTTGACGTAATCAGCACCACAGGGGTAATCTGGTCAGAAATGGTCGAAAGTGGACAGAAGAGACAGATTAAAATGCTAGGTGTAAACAGGTATGTGTCTCCATTGTCCACTTGTAATCAGATTGACCAAAAAGCATCTTATTACCAAGTGTAAACAGGGCCATAAATGCATCAAACTCACTTGGAATGCTGAGAAATTCTAGTATGGCTAGACAACGTGTAGTATATATATATATTAGTGCTGTCAATCGATTAAGAAAAGTTAACTAATTAACATTTTTTCTGAAATTAATCGTGATTAATCCCAATTAATCCCACCTAACATTAACGTTTTTAAAATACACTTTTATATTGCAATAATTACACATTCAATCTTCAAATTAATGTAGAAATAACAAAGATAGTATATTTTTTAATGGCATCTTTTTTATGACTGAAGGCGAGTATCACTGATACCAATACTACTGATGTGTCTGGGAAATTGTTCTTTTTTTCGCTAATATTTAACCATAGAATCAGAATCAGAATCAGAATGAGTTTTTATTGCCAGGTATGTTTACACATACGAGGAATTTGTTTTCATGACAGAAGCTCCACAGTGTAACAGAATGACAGTGACAGAACAAAAACACAGATAATAAAAAATAGAAAAATAGAACAAGTAACTAAGGAATAAAAATATACAAATCGACAATTGTATGTACAGGTATATAACAATAGACAGTTGTATGTACAGGTATATTATGTGCAAATTGAAATGTAGACTGAGTATGAGTGTTAGATAAATAAGGGTATGAGTGAATAAATAGTGTGTGTTCCACAGTTATTGTCAAGTGTTCATGAGATGGATGGCCTGAGGGAAAAAACTGTTCCTGTGTCTGGTCGTTCTGTCGTGGACAAAGCGGAGTCCAGCCCGCCTCAGCTCACTCTAGCCTGGCCTCATAGAGGAGAAACAATAATGTACAGTATGTGGAAAATAATGTGTTTTTTGAACTTTAAACCGCATAAACACATTTCATTACACCAAATACACAAAATAATGTTCTTTTTAGCAGCATCATATGACCCCTTTAAAAAAATAACAACTTCTAATTAAAGTGAACTTAAAACAATCTTCACATAAACCCATTATGATACATGTCATATTCACCTATGCCCTTTAGCAAGAAGAAAAGTATACAGAAATTTAATAAAGTTATCAACACTAAATTATAAATGAAAAAAGATGAATCCTTAAAGCTTCAAAAGTTACTGATTTCCTCTTTTTTCTTTGATTAACAGACATTACAGCAGCTGGGTTATTAGGATATTTGGCTGCTATTACTTTAAGAGCTGCCACTGCTGAACGTGATGCGGAACTGACATTCATTTGTGCTTTAATATGAAATGATACAAGCTACAGCGCGCGCCGCCATATTTGTGTGGGCGATTGAATAGCACACGCTACGAGCAGATTTGTTTCTGCTGACATATGGCCTGACAACATCTCATCTGATCACAGTTCACTGAGCTCCTCATCACCTATACCGTTTCCGCGCTCGTTTGACTCATGCTAATCTAAAAAGTCTCCTGTTTGATATGGTCATAAAGATATTCTGCATCTAAATAAATGCAATTCTTGTCAAGAAAAAAGAGACAGAAGCAGCAGTTGTGAGTGGGGTAGCCAACCCTAGCTCCGCCCCTGCGTTAAGTGCTTTGAGTATTTTTAATGCTGTTAAACTGGGGAAAATCATTGCCTGTATTAATGCGCTAATTTTGACAGCACTATATATATTTATATATATTATATGCAAATTGCAATCAATGATTTATGGTCATTTTGCTGTTAGTGTGAATGTCCATTTTGGATGATGTACAACCTGAACCTACAGCACTAGCATGGATATTAATTACTCAACAACTAAACAAGAATTTAGAAGAAGAGAAAAGAGATATGGAGGCAGTTGTACATGAACATGCCAAAACAAACACAAATCTGTCGGGAGTAGCAATCATCACAGCGCATGAAGAGAGAGGCAATACACAACCACTAAACACGAGCTCGATATCAATATTCAGAACATGTCAGAAACACAGAATACTGATGACCTCATGAATGCATGATTCCAGGAAACAGCATAAATATTTGCAATCATCATCATATTTCACCTCTAGGAGATGCATTATTGACGGCAGCTCTGAGAGTACAGCATGGTTTCTACTGCATCAGTAACAAAACGTCTCTTGACATCAGCATTTTGATGTTATACCCCAGCAGAATTTGATATTAAGTACAGTAGAAACTGTCAACCGATGCTGTCAAAGCTCAAGATAACGGCAAAACAAGGCCTCTGTCCTGATGCTGCTTTATGAAACTCGTGCAGGCAACAAAAATATTCTCAAATCTTTATAAAATTCATTTGAATTCCAATATTTACACTACATTACTAATGTTTGGACATGTTTATTCATTGTTTACTAATACTACTGTTAACATCTTAGAAATACATATTAAAAACACAAATGCAAGCATGTGAGTTATACAGTGTAAATTTTTTTTAAACAAATATTGTATATTTTATACCTTAAATATCTTTTTTGTCTATATTCCAGCTCTGCACAACATAATTAAAGACACTTGTTGGCAGCTTCATTATCCTTCACTGACTAGCCAATAAATTAAATTAAATTAAAATAAATAAATGAAGACGTGTTATTGAAGTTATTGAAGACACGTGTTGGCAACTTTTCCTTCATTATCTTATGGAAGCCATTTCTTCCTTGGGATCAAAAACTTATAAAGTTAATGACAAAAAGGTTGTGACTTTTTATCTCACAATCTGACTTTTATTCTTGCAATTCTAAGAAAACTTCTAGATATACACTCACAAGTATTACTTTTTTCTCTCAGAATTGTGAGGAAAATATCAGAATTGTGAGATATAAACACAGAATTACAAGAAAAATTGCAAGAAAGGTTGCAATTACCTTTTATAATGATTATTTTATCCTGTGGTGAAAACACTATCATACTATATATATCGCCAAAATCAACCTTTAAAAAAAAAAAAAACTTTTTTAAAATAAAATTTTAGTTTTGTAAAGAAATGCTTGCATGTTACACTATCTGGCCAAACTCATTGAAAAATATGTAAAACTTATTTTATAAGTTTTAAATAGGATATGCACATATGTATGCTTTATAAAAGGAAAGAAAATATTTTGTAATACATACAGTACTATTAATACTAATCTACAAAACTAATTTCAAGTATTTAAGTATAAAGATTTGGATGAAAGGGTTTTAAAGATCATAAGAACACAATCTGCACAAGAATGCAAAAATGAATTCAGTCAAGTGTGTCCAGATGTGGTAGTGCATATGGGACTTCACACTTTCAAAAGCATTTAAAAAGTAAACATGTGGCTTTTTCTCACCTTTCCAGTTCTGCGATCTTCTTATCCTTGTCATTTTTCTCTGTGTCCACCTCTCTCAGAATCTCCAATAACCTCTCGACCTCGGTCTGGGCTTTGCTGGACTCCTCTTTGTAGAAGGACACCTCTTTTTCTAGAAGCTTGACCCGGTCCACATACTCAGGGTTCCCACGTGAGCTTTGCTGCACCTCCATATCATGAGCCTTCTGTATGATGATCATGGGAAGGCATCACCACAGAAACCAGTTAAAACACACAGTCTCAGTCAATCAAAAATTCCTGAAGAAGCATTCCCAGTTCGGAATGCCACTCCAGTGCATACACCAGTACGCAGACTAGAGGGCTCCACAAAGCAGATAATTAGCCAAACTTTAAATATAAGATTAAATGCACTTATTTGTCTTGCTGCAGTTGAAACAGAATACAAGAGATCACGTTATACTATATAAACAGAGGAAGTTGCAGTTATGCATCATTTTCTTTGCAATGTTGAAATGCAGCCTTGCTTAATTATTAAAACACAGCGGGCATTCTGAAACACAGTTTACACTGGCATGTTGAAAATGAATGCACAATGGATCACACACAATGCAAAATTGAAGAAAGCGACAACATAAATAATCCAAGATAATGTGGTCATACAACCAAAGGTTGCAACAGATCAAAGCTGACACCAGATTCACATGACATGAGAGGAAACACACACGACAGAGGAACATGCAACGCAACATGCAAATGTGGATTTTAGCTCCATGGTTCGGTGGTAAGATTCTTTGCAATGCGTTTGCCATCAGACATATGCGTGTTCAAGTACCTGGGTATTAATTTCAAAAACAGATTAGTAAACATTGGAAGCATGAGGAAACAATACAGTTTTTCTACATTTCACAGAATGCCCTTGAATCCCAATTAATTCTGTTTTAATCCTGTTGGTTGGTTATATGATAAAAACAATAAACGTATTAAACAGGATGCACATGCAAGATTCTGAAAAGATCTGTATTGCACCCAAACTAAGGAAGAATATTTTAGAAAAATAAAATAAAATAATTTACACTTACATTTAATTTTTGTATTGCACAATTCACTATATATAATTTAGATTTCCTCTAAATAACCTACAACTGCTGCATCCTGCAGACCTCTGCTTATACAACAACAACAAAAACCTCCAAAAATAGCTAGACTTCAATCTATTTTTACTTGACATTTTCCATAATAATTCAAAGCTGTACCTAAAATACATATTGTGTTGTTCCTGAACTGTAAAGTTCATCAGACCATAAATTAGATCCCCTTCTTCTAAAGCAGCAGGGTTGAATTCTTATAAGTTAAAGTAGAAAGAAACAAAGAGTATAGTGTCCTCATGTTTTCAATAAGTGCTAGTACAGATCCAGAGAGACACTTACGGGATTGTTCATTTGACTGAACAGCTGCTCTGCTTGCTACATTGCAAAGGAGGGAATCATGGGAAATGAGGAGGAGGAGGAGGATGAAGGGACTCAGTAAAACAGCACAAGCTTTATCATTAGCTCTTCTTTCAGGATAATGATAATGTTCTACACAGGAGAATATAAATAACTAGAGAGCAACATAAGAACAAAAAGAAGCCGATTGAGTGAATCGCCTACCAAAACAGCATTTCTGATCAACATAGAATTCAAACATTTTAACTGAACTATGCACCTCTGATACCCAAAAATGCCATTTAGGTAGGCGGTTCACTAGGCTTTGAGACACAGCTACTGTCAAATAAGAGAAATTAGACAAAGACAGGAACTCATCACTACTTTCATAAAGTTCCCATGATGCCCTCTAAAATGAGTGACCATTAAGCTGATGCCGAAAACACATTCAATGACACAACTAGCTAAATCATTGAAAGTAATTTCAGTGGTACCAATTACAGGTTGATTGATATCAGTTTTAAAAACGCAGATATTCTTAGAGCAAGGTGGCCGATGGCTTATATACAGCCAGACTATATACAGTGAGACCGCAGAGAAAACCTGGGATTCATTCAAAATGAACAGAAATAGAAAAAAGATTTTGCACTGTCACCAATCAAATCAGCAAATTTGTGACACTGATTATAGGAACTCCTTTGTACAAAAAGTTTTGGTCTTTTAAAAAATATTTACAAAAAGATTGTTATGCTTAAAATTACATACTGTACACTACCGTTCAAAAGTCTGGGGTCTGTCCATTTTTTAATATTGTGATATTGTGTAATGTAATATTGTGAAATAATTTTATTTTAATTTCTATTTTAAAATGTAATTTATTTCTGCAATGCAAAGCTGAATTTTCAGTATTCAGTATCACATGATTCTTCAGAAATCATTCTGATAGGCAGATTTGGTACTTAAACATTTCTTATTATCATCGATGTTAAAATCAATTGTTCTGTTTAATATATTTTAGGGGAAATTGTGATGCATTTTTAAAATAATTCTTTATTGAATAGAAAGTTCAAAACAACAGCATTTAAGCACAACATAAAATCTTTATCATCACTTTTGATCAATTTAGTGGCTTCTTGCTGAATAAAAGTATTATTTCATAAAAAAAAAAAAATCTTACTTACCCTACATTTTTTGAAAGGTAGTGTATATTATAATGAACAAAAATAAATAAATAATTAAAAAATATATAAAATAGAAGAGAAACAGCACAAATATGAAATTTCTGAAAACAATTATCTAAAAGTCTAAATACACATAATTGCTAAAATTAAATAATGACCAAATCAAGTCTAATTTTAGACCTAATACAATCTTACTTACCCTACATTTTTTGAAAGGTAGTGTATATTATAATGAACAAAAATAAATAAATAATTAAAAAATATATAAAATAGAAGAGAAACAGCACAAATATGAAATTTCTGAAAACAATTATCTAAAAGTCTAAATACACATAATTGCTCAAATTAAATAATGACCAAATCAAGTCTAATTTTAGACCTAATACACACAGTATTTAATAACTAAAAATATATGAAAACAAAAATGTGGATTTTCTATTGACAAAACTGTCGGCAGATTCTGAAACGGACACACACTTCTTGTCAATCGGCCAAGCGCCACAGTTAACAAATGATGCTGATAATCCTAAACTTGCCAAAATCGAATGATCAAGATGTCAGAAGGAAAATCATACCTTCTGCAGCTGTGTCTCCAGTTTACTGCATTCCTCTTTCTTTTGCTCGATTGCGATCTCAAGGGACTTGAGTTTGGAGTCTTTCTTGAGACCTGACGAGGCCAGTGAGGAGGCGTGCTCTTTTAAATCTATGAGGCTCGACTGGAGGAAGAGCAAGACGAGACCAAAGCTGACAGTCCCACCAAAAACTCACAGAAACACAACTGAAACCGACACACGCAATCACTGACGTACCTCTTTATCTGTTAGCTCCACTTGCAAAGAGTTCACCTTCTCTTTTAGGTCTTTATTCTCTCTTTTATATGAGTCCACCTCCTCCAGTCTCTCTCGGTCTTCCCTCTCCCTTTGCTCTTTGAGGCGCTCGATAATTCGCTCCTGTGACAAAAACACATTTCACCTGAACTCATGGCTAATTGAGCATGCTAAAACAATCTCCACATCCCTAACACTCGAGGTTTATCAATAAATGTCTGTAAATGTCTTCATTCATCACAGATTAGCGGGTAAATTCACTAAAACCTGCCAGAAAAAAATGCTGTACAATCCGACTAAAGTATTCCAGATCATGGTAGTCTCTGAGCATCTGGCCTGAATGCTGAGAAATGTGCTGTATTTAATTATGTTTTTTGGCCATGTTTTCTTTGTTACCTGATTTGCATAATTACTTTAGAGAATCAGGTGCTAAAACAACACAGTATGCACAAATAAACAATGCTATCAGCAGACACAATTTATTTCCTAAGTTTAAAATACTGTGAATGTGTCATGCACAGTCTGTTGTCGAAGGCAATTTCTTGAACTTTGAACTTTATTTTATATTCTCCAAACACCTAAATCAGCATATATGAGGCAGCTCTGATTTGATTTGCTTCTGCTCTACATTTTCATTTCCTCTTGTGATGTTTGGGACCGTTTCTGGTACCTTCTCAGACAGGGCTTCCTCTAGCGTGGCGAGGGCAGTATCAGTGTTGCTGGAGTCCGTCTGGAGAGACTTCACTCTGTCCTTTAGATTCCCGAGCTGTTTATTTTTATCCCTCAGCTGCTCCTGAAGGTTCTCAATCTGGGAGAGAGGAAGAGGATAAAACGAGTGTGGATTTAGCAATCAAAGTTTTTTTATTGCAAAGCATGTTTTGTTCAACATGATAATCTTCACAAATGAACATAACTGTTATGAATTTTGAAGCCTAAATACAATTGCCCGAAGTAAAATGTTAGGCTATAAACGAATTATACCACATTTGCATAACTTCAATGTCACCACTACTAAGATTCCGTCAACTGTTTAAATATTTAAAGGGGTCATATGATGTTGCTAAAAAGAACATTATTTTGTGTATTTGGTGTAATGAAATGTGTTTATGCGGTTTAAGGTTAAAAAAATACATTATTTTCCACATACTGTACATTATTGTTTCTCCTCTATGCCCCGCCTTTCTGAAACGCGTCGAATTTTACAAAGCTCATCGTTCTGAAAAGCGAGGTGTGCAGTGATTGGCCAGCTATCCAGTACGTTGTGATTGGCCGAATACCTCAAGCGTGTGACCGAAATGTTACACCCCTTACCATACTGTGATGCTGTGTCCCGGAGCAATGAGACAAAAACATTAAAACCCATTATAAACGAGGCATTTGTTGCATCCAGTGGGGACATAATT